GATGCGTTGGGCAGGGCGGGTGGTCATTCAGAGGGCTACGCGATTCGACTTTGTCAATCACAGCGCAGACCCAACTATTATGTATCATTATTCACCTCGTTTAACCAGCACAGGCTCACTGGGTCATCCCATGACTCTTTGTTAGCAGGATCCTGCCACGTTATCGCAGACGGGGGGTGTGATTGACTCTTTACTTGCTGTGTCCTTAACACATAATTGAGTCGTTCGATGGGTAATTTGCTTTTGTTAGGTTAATTTTGGCACAGTATGGATGATCACGATGTCGGCAACGCGATTTGCCCGACTCGCACGAACAGCTTTGTGCAGGCGATGGTGAGGATGTTGATCCCGATGATGACGGTGATCACGATGATGATGGTGATCACGATGACAGTGATCATGATGATGTTGATTACGAGGACCGCGATCACAATGACGTTGATAATCATCACTGATCACAATCACTGATGACGATGATGTTGGGAATGTGTTTGATCGCGTTCGTGGTGACGCCAGGAGCTGCACAACCGCGCCATCAGCCGCTCGCTGTGCGGACACCGTGCACTGTACACAGCACGCACTGTACACACTGTACACATCATGCACTGTACACACCGTGCACTGTACACCGCCGCATAACGCACTGTACAGTGCGTGCACCGCACTGTACAGTGCGTGCACCGCACCGACTGTACACCGCGTACACTGTACACCGCATGCACTGCACATGCTGCTGCGTGTACAGCTGCACGGTGTACAGCTGCACATCGTGGGTGCTGTGTGTACAGCTGCACAATGTGGATGCTGTGTGTACAGCTGCCCATTGTGGGTGCTGTGTGTACAGCTGCACATCGTGGGTGCTGTGTGTACAGCTGCACATCGTGGATGCTGTGTGTACAGCTGCCCATTGTGGGTGCTGTGTGTACAGCTGCACATCGTGGGTGCTGTGTGTACAGCTGCACATTGTGGATGCTGTGTGTACAGCTGCACATTGTGGATGCTGTGTGTACAGCTGCACATCGTGGATGCTGTGTGTACAGCTGCACATCGTGGGTGCTGTGTGTACAGCTGCACATTGTGGGTGCTGTGTGTACAGCTGCACATTGTGGATGCTGTGTGTACAGCTGCACAATGTGGGTGCTGTGTGTACAGCTGCACATTGTGGATGCTGTGTGTACAGCTGCACATCGTGGGTGCTGTGTGTACAGCTGCACATTGTGGGTGCTGTGTGTACAGCTGCACATCGTGGGTGCTGTGTGTACAGCTGCACATTGTGGATGCTGTGTGTACAGCTGCACATCGTGGATGCTGTGTGTACAGCTGCATAATGTGGGTGCTGTGTGTACAGCTGCACATTGTGGATGCTGTGTGTACACTGCACAATGTGGATGCTGTGTGTACAGCTGCATAATGTGGGTGCTGTGTGTACAGCTGCACATTGTGGATGCTGTGTGTACAGCTGCACATTGTGGGTGCTGTGTGTACAGCTGCACATCGTGGGTGCTGTGTGTACAGCTGCACATTGTGGATGCTGTGTGTACAGCTGCACATTGTGGGTGCTGTGTGTACAGCTGCACATTGTGGATGCTGTGTGTACAGCTGCACATTGTGGATGCTGTGCGTACAGCTGCACATCGTGGGTGCTGTGTGTACAGCTGCACATTGTGGGTGCTGTGTGTACAGCTGCACATTGTGGATGCTGTGTGTACAGCTGCACATGGCGCACCGAGAACGCGCGACTCCGATTCGGGAGCGTTGTTGTCATGCGCGGGCACTGTGGAGATTTAGGCGCAATCCCACGAAAATCCATTCTGGACCCCGCATCAGCTTCGCGTGTACGAGGCTCGGTGCGTTGTTTAGTGAGCTGGTTGTAAATTTCGTCTATCTGGCGACACCTAGCGACCGCTTTGAGGATATTTGGGCGACTTTTCGCCTTTGAGGAGTTTGCAACACCGACTTTTGTTTTCCTCTCGCCACCGCACGGGTCTAAATGTGTCCACAGGACGCGGGGTCAGGGTCAGAGCAAGGGTCAGAGTCAGTGTCACAGCCAGGGTCAGGGCCAGTGTTAGAGCAAAGGTTAAGGTCACAGCCAAGGTCACGTCCAGGACCAGCGATAGAGCAATGAATAAGGTCACCGCCAAGGTCGCTGCCAGGGTCAGGGCTAGTGTTAGAGCCAAGGTTAAGGTCACAGCCAAGGTCACGGCCAGGGTCAGTGTCACAGCCAGGGTCAGGGTCAGAGCCAATGTCAGTGTTACAGCCAAGGTCAGAGCCAGGGTCATGGCCAGTTTTAGAACCAGGCTTTGTGTTGGAGGCAGGGTCAGGGTTAACCCGATGTCAAAGGATGCTTTGTTGTATTCTTTAAATGTTGCACAAAATGTCGCATGTTAATCGTTGCAGTTGCATGTTACCGAGGCAATGAGCTCAATGGTGGCCCAGTGATTCTTAATAAATTATAAAGTTCAGGCCACGAGGCCCAACCCTCGCCCTCCTCTCTTGCCTGAGCGACCCAGCTAAGGCAACCCGGCAGAGGATCTAGGCAAGCAAAGGCGTCTTCTCGGCCTATGACTAAAAACAAAACAATCCGGTATTTTACATAAGCCATTAAAGGTGCAAATAAAGGCAGTAACATTTATATATAAAACATAATACTTAAAGTCCTGTATTACTATAAAACTGTCACGCATAAAAAAATGTTGCCACTTGGGGAAATGACCGTCACCTGAAGCGCGGTGCGAGGTTGTGCAACGGCAACATTCGAAAAGAGCAACACAGAAATCGTGGTTGCTCGCAACGTGTCTGCAGGGAAAGTCGCACCAACAGCTACGTGGGGGGGTCCTGTACGGAGATCAAACGTCCCGCTTTGGCCAGAAAAGTCCTGGTGGTGCCAGAAAGTCCTGGTGGTGCCAAAAAGTATGTCCCAACACCCAACCCCCCTAAGCTATTCTGGCTGCCAGTTGAAATATTCTGGTCTCGTGCTCGAGAGCAAACGCCGAGTAGTGAGTGAGTGGACGTGATGGGAGTCGATATACCGCCAAGTTGGTAACTTTGCAACGTGAGGGTAATGCTGTGGGTGGAGCAGGTGGAGCTGCCTTGGAAACAGGCTCCCAGCGGTCTGGCTGCCTCTTTGGTTGGGTGGGGATGGCACCACGGAGAGGAAACTTGACCGTAAACTCCAGCACCCAAAAAATTAGATTGCCATACCTTGCCAGCGGTTTATGAGCCGACTGGCCAACCAAATGCTAACCATTAACCGTAACCAGCTAGTATGTCAAATTAGTACGAGCAATAACCCCTTACCAGCCACTACCGCTAGTCCTCCCACAGACTCCAACTCTTAACAGACCACCAGCTCCTCGTACAAACACGGTCACTGTCCATAACTAGCTAACTAGCCACTCCGGCAGATCAAAAACATCCCAAGGGGGGATGGCAGTTTAAAAATGTCAAGCTGTTTAAACAGGGCCCGACATTAATAACCACCCCTCCCCCAAAATAATACATATTTGGGGTCTCAAAGGAGGGGGGGGGGGGAGATTAACCCCCATTGCCCCCCACTAACCACTAGCCCTCTCACTAACCTAACCTCACCATAAATATACCAACCCTGCCAAATCACTCTAATTCTATGTAACTAGCCAACCAGCTAGCCACGAGTATTACCCCTCACACCAACCTTAACCCTAAACCGCAAATTTTCCTTTCCACCGTTTGTTCCTTCGTCACTATCGGCGATGACTGCGTCTCCCTGCGGTGGCGATGGCCATGGGGCTGGCCTCTGTGTGCGAACAGTCACCGTCTCTACGCGCCGGAGGCATGCAACACAGACGATACAAAAACTCGCGTTTGGTCCATGGGTCACAGCCACACTCACACAGACACGGGCACGCACACGGACGGACACAGGGATGGACACGGGAGCCGCGCTTGCCGCGCACACCACACGGTTGCGATTAGTCACAGGCAGGGCCGTCCATGGGGAGGGGGGGCGGGTTTAACCATACCGTGTGGGCCCCCGACGCCTTCAAACTAAACCGGAATTATTACATCTGACACTGTGACATCGAAGCGCGGAGCCCCCCCTCCCAACCCCCAAAGCGCGGGACCTGGGGCGGTCGCCCCGATTCGCCGTACCCTAGGGACGGCTCTGGTCGCCGGACACAGGAGGTCGTGTGTGTGTTGACCCCTGACCCCTCATGTTATTGCTACACCTGTGGGGGGGGACACATGGGGCAGAGTGAAGTGGGGGGGGAGGGGGGTCATTGGTGGTTCTTGTACGCCCCGAATCCCAGCCGCCCCTCTTCTCACGGCGTCATAGGCTCACTTACCAACGGGCCCTGTTCACGGATCCACATACGTCACTGAAAACACAGCAAGGTGGGGCAGCGCTCGTATAAACTACAATATCATGCAGCTCCATCCACGTGGGACAGCCGCGCCTGCCTGTAGCGTCAAGGGCACAGGATTAAAGGCGCAGGCCCTGCAATTGTTTGCTCACGCCACTGCTCGCAGAAGGATCTCCACTACAGAGAGCTCTCGAAGAGTGATATTTGGCCTACTCTTCCAGCCTGGCCAGACTTCTTGGAAGAGGTGTGTACCCATCACCACGTGCGACCTGTGGCGCAGAATGTCCCGTGGATGTTCAATGATCGCCCCCTGTGTGTCGATCGCAGGACACAGGGGCGGCTGTCCCACAGGATATGGATGTGTTTCGCTCCCCGTTGGCTCAAATTCCGTACCATAAGTCGTACCGAGGGCATCGCGTCCGCTCACGAACGTCGCTACGTTCCGCTAGCCGCGGCTTAAAATTAAAATAATTCCGTCACGAATTTCAACGTTCGGCCTCGACTGCAGTGACCAGCGATCTCTCTCGCACGCGTGCGCAGAGACACACGCGCACGCACGCGCGCACACACACACACAAACGGTCAGCCCACCAATAAAATAACATCACAACTCGTCAAACACCCATCCACCCGCCCGCCAGCTCTCCCATCCTCCCACCAAACCACCACCCCCCTTGTCCCCGAGTCCCTGAGACCCCGGGTGGGGGGCCAAGGGAGTGACTCTCTTCTCCCGTCCAAACCCCGTTGGGTTGGGGCGAGGGCCCGGCCTGGTTGCAGTGTGGCCCCAGGATAGGCCCAGGGTGGCTCGACGTGGCTTGGCGTCGTCACTGCAGCATGTTCTTTATCTGTTTGCACGACGTCTCGTCGTTGATATGTCGTGTCGTGTACCTTGGGAGAAACGACAAAAGAGATGCTCAGCTGTTGGCACCACTGGATGTGAATACAGGATTCAGACACCTCTGGTTATTGTATTTACCGTATGGAGCCAACCGTGCTAAATCGGGGGTGTGGGGGGAAGGACAACAAACTAAATCGGAATAAAAAATGTATTCTCAATCGTAATGAGTTAATGTTCTCAGCCCAATCACCAACGACTCACAAAGTGACCTGTAGAGACTCACACAGACTGGGCTGTCATGAAACCGGATTCGCAAGTGTTAGTTGCTCGTCCCAGCCCAGGCACCAGTGACTGCACAACAACATCTCATTATGTTCAATTAAGACTTTTTATTTAATAATAACGATCGCACTGCACATCCTTTGGAATTGACGGTCCCTCTAGCCAGCCAGCAAAACTAAAAAAAAAATCTACATCCTTTTAAAATCCACTGCTGGATGAAGGCCTTTCCAGGATGGATGCGCCTCGCTCCCTGTGTCGGTCAAGGGGGTTGTTTCACGATACCTCAACACGGTGGTCCGTGCGGATTGGGACCAATTCAGATGTCCTTCACCACAGACGTCCATGGTCAGGAATCAAACCAAGGTTGTTGGATTCATAAGCACAGCGCGCTAACCACTGAGCCACCACTCCACCGTTGTTACCCAAGTTGTTACCTGAGTGCGTTCAGAAGCCCCTCCACACTCGCCTGGGGCTGCTCCTTCAGCACCTTAATGCAGCCCTTCATCTGTGGACAGCACGCACAGCACACACAGTACAGGCATTACATGGAGCACACACAATGCACACAGCACACACCTTACACAGAGCACATACATTACATACGCCACACAGTACACACAGCACAGCATGTAAAGCACACGTTACATTTAGTATACAAATGTAGAGCACAGACAGCACGCACGGTAAACAGTGGCATACAGCACAGGCCACATGTAGAGCACATGCACCTCGCCCTCGAGGAACACTGGAGCCTCGTTAAAGATCCGACGGCCGATCAGCAGCCTCCTCCTGTCCGGGTGGCCGTGGGTGATTCTAAACCTGCGCCAGGGATTCCCACGGCCCACCTGGACTCTATCCGATGACGCACGAGTGGCGACGCGTGTATATTGTTGTACGTATGTTGAACTTCTTTCGCACCGCGCGTACGCAGCCAGCCGTGCTAATCGGAGGCGCGACGATTGCAAGACGACGATGACCACTCACTCCAGCTGCGCAGGCGAAACACCGCGGCGCGAAGAGTCGCCATTCAGATTTCACTTCGTCTTCCCGGCGGGATGACACAAACGTTCGATCCGCTTCCGATGATGTCATGTTCTTTGACTGGCTCGTTAAACGCGATCTCACCACCCATCATCTTCTGTCGCTATTTCCACACGACAGGAGACGACCATCCCCCCCCACCCCGTCTCCACTCACGTCCAGCTTGGAGGTCTTGGCGAAGGCCCCGACTGGGTGGACGTGGTCGTAGAGGATGATGAGGCCCACCATGACACGCAGGCAGAAGAGCATCGAATCCTCGCTGCCAAACCGACACCGGTACTCCCTGTGGAAGATCCACCACCACAACCACACAAAACAACCTACTTGCTGCACTGCCCAGCTTACTACACGAGCCTCTGGCCGTGCGTTGTATTGTGGCTGGGCGTGGTTGTGGTGGTGTTGTGCTGTTTAAGTTGTGTTGTGCTGGTCTGATGGTGTTGTGGTGATGTTGTTATGGTGGTTAAGTTGTGTTGTGGTTGTAGTGGTTGTGTGGTTGTTGTTGCAATAGCAAGTGGAAGTTCACGGCGTATCCAGCATGGCGCCTAGCTCAGGATCGCCATGGTGGTGTAGTGTTTCCGTGTTGTTGTTTACTAGTATTGTTGTGGTGTGGTGTTGTTGTTTACTAGTATTGTTGTGGTGGTGGTGGGCCCGCTCACAGCGTGTCCAGCATAGCCTTGCACAGGCCTGCCATGGTGGTGTAGTGTTGTTGTTGTGAACTAGAATTGTTGTGGTGTAGTTGTGTAGTCGTATTGTTGTGGTGTGGTGTTGTTGTGTACTAGTATTGTTGTGGTCTTGTTGTGTACTAGTATTGTTGTGGTATAGTGTTGTTGTGTACTAATATTGTTCTTGTCTCGGTGTTGTTGTTGTGGTGGTGGTTGTGAGCTCACGGCGTGTCCAGCATGGCCTTGCACAGGCTCGCCATGGTGCTCAGGCAGTCCGTCGTGTTCTCCAGAGGCACCACCGACTCGTGCTGCACCAACAACCCCCACCCCCAATCCGTGCATTACAAACAAGACCAAGGCTCAACACTGCAATTCATTATCTCGTCGCATAGAAATGTATACACTCTGTAGAGCAGCGTTCTTCATTGCAAGGCCCGTGGGCCACTGGCGACCCCTGATGGCCTTTGATGCGGCCCCCGACAATACAGAACGAGTGAATAACCCCCCCACTATCATCATCGTCGTCGACGTGCTGCTGTCAACCCCCAATGGTTTCAACTGTGTGGCGACCCTCACACTGGCGATGTCTTATCGGCGAAAGTGCCCCCCGCCCCCCTCTGAAAATTAGTGAAGAACACTGCCGTAGTAGTGCCTTATTGCAAGGCGCGTAACAACAATTAGAAAATTGCACGTAAGATGATAGTGGTTGAGATATTTAAGAGTAGTGGGGTTGTTGTTGGTGGTGTAGTTTTGGTGACAGAAACAGGCGGGAGTGGTTGAGGAGGGGTTGAGGTAGGCCTGGTCGTGGCTGGGGGAGAATGTTGGCCTACTCTTCCACGCAGGGCCCGACGCCCTAAACAAAAATGGCTTGCTTGCGGTTCTCAAGGGCTCTGTTTTCTAGCAGTGCCACCGTAATTCTGGACTGTAGCGCCGTTTCCACTTCCCGTTTTTGTGCAAGTACGACTGAAAAAAATACCAAGCGAACGTGGAACCTTGGGGCCCAATGTTGGCCCAACGTTGGTTCTGACCACGTGCCAACCTTGGCTCAACGTTGGCTCAACGTTGGCACGTTTACTGGAGTGCAGTTAAAATGAAGTTCAGTGCAGTTGCATAGGTTCAGCTCCTGCAGCTGAGTTGTCTCCCTCGTGTTCTTGTACATATAATAGTAAAATCATAAACTGCATTTGCATCACCATTTCTAAGGTTAATAAATAGCTCAGTGGCATTGAATTATCCAGTTTCGTTGTGATCTCTATTTTTGAATCAAAGCACACACAATAAATTGTCAACGTACCTTGAACCGTACGTAGCTGACTGTACCAATCGGTGGTGCTAATATGTTGTACACGTCTAAGCGTGTAAAACATTATTTTGTATGATGAACAAGTGTTGCAACGTTTGCAAGTGAAATCACTAATTAAATTGTTCATTTAAACCACAGGGTGGCGCCACCATCACCACCACCAACATCAACATCATGACCATGACAACCAGCATCATCAACATCGTCATCTTCAACATCAACACCACCACTACCACCATAACTATCACCGCCACCACAATCATCAACATCATCATCACCATCATCACTACCATCATCACCACTACCACAACCATCATAAACATCAACAAGCATAATCACCAGCATAACCACCATCATCAACAAAAACCAACATAACCACCAACAATCACCACTGTCATTAACACCATCACTATCATCATAACCACCACCACCCAAATAATGAACATCAACACAACCAAAATCACCACCACCACCACCACTACGAGCTCTACCACGTGGTCCCGTGCCGTACCTCTGAGACGAATCTGGTGGTGGCGTTGCTCAGCGTCTTGAGCATGGGCGTTGACTCGGCGTAGAAGAGCGACATTCTGTTCGCCATCTCATTGCTCACCTCCGCCTCCGTGCCAGCCTAGCGCAGGGCATGCGTGGGTAGGGTGCGCAGGGTGGTACAGCGTGGGTATTGTGGGATAAGGATGGTACGCGTGGATGGGGTGGATGGGGTGGGTGGGGTGGGTAGGGTGGTATGCATGGATGGTGTTGGAAGGGGTTATTAGGGTGGTACGCGTGGATGGGGTGGTACGTTTGAGCAAAGTGGTACACGTGGGTATGGTAGGGCAATGGTGGTATACGTGGATATCGTGTGTAGGGTGGTACGCGTGGATAGGGTGGTACGCGTGGATAGGGTGGTACGCGTGGATAGGGTGGTACGCGTGGATGGGGTGGGTAGGCTGGTACAGGTGAGCAGAGTGGTACGCATGGGTATGGTGTGGCGAGGGTGTACACGTGGGCGAGGGTGGCATGTGCCATACTCACGTTGCTGTTGGTCATGCGCATGCGACTCAGGGTTCGGCGGTAGAAGCTGAAGTCGTTCTGAACGGATGGGTTTGTCATCTGCAGAGCACACCCCACGGTACACACACCATGGTACACACCATGCACCGTGATACGCACCCTACACACAACACTGTAGATACCCTGCACACGTGAGACACTACGGTACACACCACGGTACACTCTGAACAATGGTAAACGGTGAACTATGTTAAACGGCGATGCATGGTAAACTGCAACCCCGTGGTAAACTGCGACCCGTGGTAAACGCGGTTACCTTGAGTTCATCGAACTGCAGGGTGAAGTGCAGGATCTGAGCGAACTGCTTGGCGAGCGCCTGCTCCCGCTCCAGGTGCTGCACGGGGGTGCAGGGGGGAGCCGTGAGCACTTCCAGCAGCCGCACCATGGCTCGCTCTGGGGGGCAGACGGGGGGGGGGGGGAGAGACGGGAGAGGGGGGGGGAACTCACGTTAGGGCGGAGAGGGGGGCACGGGACCTCCCCCCCAACCACGCCACCCCACACGTCGCCTAGAAAAATCACTCTAAATTCCACTCCCCGCGTCTGTCCACGTCTCTCCCAGTCTTCTTGCGCCTCCTCTCTGTCTTCCCGTGTCCCTGTGTCTCACTCTCCCCTCATGTCTCCCCGTGTCTCACTCTCCCCCCTTGTCTCCCTGTGTCTCACTCTCCCCCCATGTCTCCCTGTGTCTCACTCTCCCCCTGTGTCTCCCCGTGTCTCACCGTCTCTTCCTGTATGTCCCCGTGTCTCCCCGTGTCTCCCCGTGTCTCCCCGTGTCTCACTCTCTCCCCATGTCTCCCCGTGTCTCCCCGTGTCTCACTCTCCCCCCATGTCTCCCCGTGTCTCACTCTCTCCCCGTGTTTCTCTATTAATCCCCGTTTCATCACGTGTCTCATTGTGTTTTCCCATGTCTCTCTGTGCATCACTCTCCCCCCATGTCTCTCCGTGTCTCACTCTCTCCCCGTGTCCCACTATCTCCCCGTGTCTTTCCGTCTCTTCCTGTATGTCCCCGTGTCTCCCCGTGTCTCCCCGTGTCTCACTCTCTCCCGGCATCTTCTCGTGTCTCCCCGTTTCCCTGTCTCTCTCCGTGCCTCACTCTTCCACCCGGCGTCTCTCCGTGTCCCACTCTCTCCGCGTGTCTCCCCGTGTGTCTCCGCGTGTCTCCCCCGTTGTCGTCTCCCCGTGGCGTCGTCTCACCGAGCTGCACGGAGAACTCGTAGAAGCCCTTGAGTTTGGAGACGAGGGGACACACGGCCGCCCAGACGCGGCCCTGAGCTGCCTCGTCCTCCGGGTGGGAGATCGCCTGGGGGAGGGAGACGCAGGAGACGCAGGAGGGGCGTGGGGGGGACATGGGGGGGGGGGGCACGTGAGGATATGGCGAGACACGAGGAGACACAAATACATGGGGATACACTGGCACCCATAGTGAGAGGGACAATGAGACGCGGGGATACATGGGGTTGGAACTGTGGGGTCCATGGGTGTGCGCGTAGGGTCTCTGTAGGGGTGTGTAGGGGTCTATCTGGGTGTCTATTGGGGTGTAGGGTTCTGTATAGAGGTCTGGGTAGGGGTGTGTGTGGGGGTCTCTGCAGGTGTGTGTAGAGTTCTGTATATGGGTCTGTGTAGTGGTGTGTGTGTGTGCGCGGTTCTGTGTAGGGGTCCATAATAAGGGTGTTTGGGTTAAATCCCGTAAGTATAAATGTGTCATAACCCTCCACCACCCGACACAGCCAATAAGGTTTGTCACGTAAACAACGCGCCAATTAGTTTACTACTTCAGCCCACCGGTGTGTTGGAGAGTAAATCCACAACATTTACAATGTGGGTACCGTGACGTTTCGCTGGTAAGCAGCATCGGGTGATTTACGTCACAAACTTTACTGGCTGTGTCGGGTGGTGGAGGGTTACGACACACTTATACTTACGGCGATCTAACCCAAAAAACCTTTATTATGAATAATTTTGGTGGCGAAAGCCTCCTGCGTGTTACACCGTGCAGGGGTCTCTGTCGGGGTCTGCGGGGGGTGGCATACCTCCCGTATCTCGCTCCCCGCGCCCGGGTAGTCCCTGAGCTCGGACAGCAGCGTCTCGGCCACCGAGAGAACGGCGTTCACCTCCTCCCAAACGTCGCGCTCCGCCTCGCTCGGCTCCGCGTCTACACAGCACACCACCGCACACCACCGCTCACCACCGCTCACCACCGCTCACCACCGCATTCCTCACTGCAGTGTCCATAGGGAACCACGCACGCCACGCACCACCACCCACGTTGCACACCGCATGCTGAACCCCGCACTCCACGCACCATGCACCACAAGCACCACACGCAAAACACCTCGCACGGCTGTACACGACTACACACCGCACCATGCACCACACACACCGCACACCACACCACCCACACTGCACATTGCCCCACAACCACTCATCAGATATAACATACCACACCAACACAGGCACAGCAACAACCGCACACCACACCGCCCCACCCCAAGCAGTAACGCGCACACCCACCAGACGACATCACAACACACTGAACCACACAAGACACCTTATGTCCCCCCGTGTGTCCCCCCCCTCCCCCTCCATATCCCCAAGTGTCCCCATGTTCCCGTGTGTCTCTGTGTTACCATGTGCCCACGTGTCCCCGTGTATGTCTGTGTATCCATGTGCCTGTTTGCCCCGGTGTCTGTACCCATGTCCCCGTGTGTCCCCGTGTGTCTCTGTGTTACCATGTACCCACGTGTCCCTTGGTGTCCCTGTATAAGCATTTGTCCCTGGTCTCCACGTGTTCCCCATGCATTCGCTCCTGTATATCCACGTGTCTCTGTGTGTTCCTGTGCGTCCCTGTGTCTTCGTGTGTCCGTGTGTCTCTGTGTGTCCATGTCTGTCCTCACTTGACCCAGTGCCCCTCTATCCCCGTGCCCCCGTGTGTCCCCTCTCACTCTCAAAGTCCAGGAAGAAGTTGGGCCCTTCGTGCTCCAAGTCGGGGCTGTTGAGAACCTTGAGTAGATTCCCCATGATGGAACCTGGAGACATCATCGCCATGAGTATCACCATTCCCACCAACACATCACCATCGCCACACACTCGCCATCGCCACCGCCACACCATCATTATCACCACACCGTTACCACCACAAACATCATCACCATCAAAACAATCACTGCACCATCAGCAGTTGCGGATCCGGTGGGGGGGGAGGCGATGGGTAAGATGCCCCCCCCCCCCTTGAGACCCCCGAGATATTGATATTTTATTGATATTTGCCCGAGACATCACATCTCGCTCCACCATCACAATACCCACCATCAGAACACGACACCATTAAAACACCATCATATTATCTTCACTATACCACCACAATCACCATCATCTCACTACACCGTCACTAATACATTACCTACATCAAGCGCTGTTTGCGAGAACCTATGAAGGCTGCACGATGTAAGAGGTGGGGTAGGGCGGTGATGTGTAGTATAACCAGTACCACGTCCGGCCGCCTTCGTCTCCCCAGTAGTGATTGATGCTTACACACCACACTGGGGGTACACATTTCGGGCTGAGTCAACCTAGGAGAGAGGCCCAGGACCATGTTCCGATAAAAATTTCCATTGTAAAGCGTGAACCGGAGTTGAACCCGGTTGGCCACGTTTGTAGTGCGGTGGGAAAACCCCACTGCACACGAAGACAAAGATCCCCCGTATAGCCTCAACAGACTGTTGGGGCAGGTGCTGTTAGCGAACACCTATGAAGGCGGCACAGCACACGAGGGGGTGGGTGACCAGCACCACGGCCGACCGCCTTTATCTCCCCAGGTACAATGAGACACGCACATTCGTACGCTCACGCTGACATAGAGTCGACCCTAGGTGAGGCCCAGGGGCCAGTTCAGATCATCGTCACTGATGTTGATGGTGCAACGTGAGCGGGAATTGAACTTGGGTCGCCAGGTCCACAGCGCAGCGCGTCAACCACTGCGCCACCGCTCTCCACACATACACAAAGACACACCCTTACAGACGTATGCATTCACGTATACATAAATGTACAGAGTACACACAAAGACACGCACACAAACACACTCAGCTGTCAATCATCCCGGAACTGTGCCCACGCGCTCCAGGTGTTTCCTCGCGAGTCACGTGATCACCCGCACCCCTGCCCCTCTCTCCCCCTCCCTTCCTCCTCTCCACTCCACATTAATAGACCAAGACCGCGTCCTCATCGCACGACTGTGCGCGGGTGTGAGTGTGGGAAGCGGTCGTGCAGCGGTTAGCGCGCTGCGCTACGAACCCGCGACCCAAATTCGATTCCAGCTCACGGCCACCAACACAGCCTCAAATGAGTACCTGGTGCGGTGTCTAATAATCACCAATGGGGAGACAGGCGTGGTTGCTGGCCACCCACCCCTTTGTGTGTCATGCCGCACCTTCATAGGTGACACTCGCTAATGACACTTTTTTTACGTGCGACCTTTGTCTTTGTGTGTGTGCGTGTAATTAGTTTACATGTAGTGTGTGGCACAATGTACCCTTTGGTGTCGGGGTTGGCAACCTGAGGTTCCAGAACCGCATGCGGCTCTTTAAAGACTGCTCCTTCGTGACGTCGCTTAAGAAGCCATCACCTCGAAATCACCCCACATTGCATTGTGTCTCTTGAAATATTGAGGTGTTTGTTTTTTAGCGAATACGAAAAAAAATGGCTCATTGTTATTCTGGTTGCCGACCCCTGCTTTAGTGTGTAGCATTTATGGTGTGCACTAGCGTGTGATGTAAAGTAGTGTGCAGTGTAATGCGTGTGGAAAACAGTGTAATGTTTCGTTTTATAAAGCGTCGTTCATGGAAATTGCATCTCACACGACCCAAAAACCACGAAAAGAACACCCAAAAAGGCTCGTGCTGGAGGCCCCAGCTGGGCAGGCATTATGACGTCTTCCGACCAACCACAAAATCCTACTGCGATTGGCCACGTGGAATGTTCAAACACATTGTGGAGGAGAGGCTGCCTTTCCTGTTGTCGGGAGCTGGGCCGGTACCGTCTGAACCTCTGTGGAATAAAGTAAATCCGAGGGAATGGTTCTGGCTTCGGTCAACATGAGGGGTGGACAGTCCTTCACTCGGGGTTGGAAACTGCCAAACAAATAAGGAGTGGCTCTTCTTTTCGACAAAATAATGGAGGTGGTGTTGTAACGTGGCGGCGAGGTGTGCGAAGCTGCTAAATTCTGGCTCTTGTGGCCTCGCCTCCCCATAAATGAGGCAATGAAGATTCGTGTTGGTGTTTTACGCTTCCACTGAAGATGAACATCAGTGGAGGGATGCAATCAAGAGCTGATGAGTCAGATGCCTTCTATCACGTCCTGACCCAGGTGCCAGGTAAAGCCCGAGTGCGTCTTGGTGGACGCACCTGGGTTGGATTGCTTGTAAGGCATGGGCCATATCAGTTCAATGACAATGGTAGGAGGCTGCTAAACATCTGTACAGCCCATGGACTTGTAATCACAAACAGAAGTTCAACCAATATCATGGATACATGCCATGTCCCAGCAAGAATATCTGTTGGACTATACATTAGTGATGGAACAGATCAGCTCTATGACAATGGTAGGTGGTTGCTAAACATCTGTACAGCCCATGGGCTTGTAATCACAAACATAAGTTCAACCAATATCATGGATACATGCCAGGTCCCAGCAAGAATATCTGTTGGACTATACATTACAGTGATGGAACAGTGAACCTCGCATGAAGGTGATCTGCCCATTTTTGGCACAGTAGTTGGCACAGTAGAGGGCACAGGTGGTGAATCTGCCAGCTGTCTCAGTCAACCCAAAACCCCTGGGTCTGCTCCGTGACCTGCCAGCAAGCCTTCTACACTTTACGTGGCCTCAAGGTGCACCTGGCCGAGCATAAGCCGCTGTGGTGACGTCACCACCACTGTTGTGAATTCTATATATATAAAATCGCAAATCTGTCTGTCTATCTGTCTGTGTGTGTGTCTGTGTATCGGACCATACGCAGTTTCATTGGACGAAATGTCAGGGATTTGCGAGACACGATTGTTCCGGCGGTTGCCCCTGGCAACGGGTAGCGACGCATTCGCCGCGGGGTGGACGCCATTTCTAATTCCCGTTAAAAATAGGCGCACGCATTAACACGCGACTCTGAGGTAAATTCATCAAAGTTTCACGTCCTCTTCACTCCCCCCCCCACCACAATGTGTGCAATTACTATTATAGGGTCGGTAGATTATAAAATTATAGCGATTAGACAGTATTATTGTAGTGCGGGGGGGGGGGGGGGGGAACGGCACCCGTACCCAGCCTCAGCCGGGTGGGCAATTTAGGCGAGGCCGGAGGCTCTGCATGGTACTAGGCCTCGACACCCACCACGCGACTCTGAGGTAAATTCATCAAACTTTCACGTCCTCTTCACTCCCCCGCCACCCCAATGTGTGCAATTACTATTAAAGGGTCGGTAGATAATAAAATTATAGCGATTACACAGTATTATTGTAGCGCGGGCGGGGGGGGGGGGTAACGGCCCCGGTACCCAGCCTCAGCCGGGTGGGCAATTTAGGCGAGGCCGGAGGCTCTGCACGGTACTAGGCCTCGACACCCCACCACACTATAGGCCGTACATACTACTGCACAGCGGCCGAGGAGATCGTGGCTGGGGGGGGCAGGGGTAGCAGCCCATCTGTGTATATATATAAGGTTATTAAGAAATATATTTTTCACCCGGGCAACGCCGGGTACTTCTGCTAGTTCTGGTGTATGTGTGGGGAGCGATAGTGCAGTGGTCAGTGCACTGCACTGTGAAACTAGCAACCCGAGTTCCATTCCCACTCACGACCAATAACAGTGGCGAATTTCTGAACCGGTCCTGTACCTCATCTAGGTTTACTCAGCCTTAAAGAAAATGAGTACCTGGTGCGGTGTGTAAACATATGCGGTGGGGAAACAAAGGTTGCCGGACGTGGTGTTGACCACCCACCCCCTCGTGTGCCACAGCGCCAGCCTTCATAGGTGCTGCTCGCTAACAGCACTTGCTCCCAACCGTCTGTTAAGGCTACACGGGAAGCTTTGTCTTTTGTGTGCGTGGGTGTGCGGGCAGCTTGTGGATGCGCGGGCTTCCCCGTGCACATGGCGAGAGCTCTCCTGCCGGCTTCCAATTTTATACCGCAGCAGCCCCACGGGGACGTGACGACGAGACGGCGTGATGGTGGCGGTAGGGATGGGGTGGTGACGGTGAAGATAATGATAATGGTGGCGATGGTGGTGATATTGGTAGTGATGATGATGATGATGTTGGTGGTGATGGTGAAAATGATAATGGTGGTGATGGTGATGATATTGGCAGTGATGGGGTAGTGATGGTGATGTTGGTGGTGATGGTGAAAATGATAATGGTCGTGATGGTGATGAAATTGGCAGTGATGGGGTAGTGATGGTGATGATGTTGGTGGTGATAGTGAAAATGGTGAAAATGATTAAATTGATGGTGATGATGATATTGGCAGTGATGGGGTAGTGATGGCGATGATGTTGGTGGTGATGGGATAGTGATGGTGAAGATGGTGATGAGGTAGTTGATGGTGGTGGCAGGGTAGTGATGGTGAAAATGATAATGGTGATGATGATGATATTGGCAGTGATGGGGTAGTGATGGTGATGATGTTGGTGGTGATGGGGTGATGGTGAAGATGATGATAATGATGGTGATGATGGTGGTGGTGGTGGTGGTGATGATATTGGTGGTGATGGGGTAGTGATGGTGAAGATAATTATGATGGTGGTGATTGTGGTGATGATGATGTGTATGGTGATTGTGGTGATGGTGGCTGTGATGGTGGCTGTGATGGTGATGATGATGATAATGGTGGCTGTGATGGTGTAGTGGTTGATCGGAAGGATGATGATGATAGCGACTGGTGGGGTAGTTAATAGGGTTTATTTTTGCGCAGGTAAAACCCATTGGGTTAAAGAAGCCTGTTTCCAACAGCAAACAAAAAACGGTGAGGGGGGCGC